CACCAGACAAAATCTAACAGTGCTGCTTCTGGATGTCTCCAAAATTGTGTCAGGACCCAAACCAAACTTCTCATCTACCAGGCTGTTGTTATCCCTGCCCTGTTGTATAGTTATGAAATATGAATATCAGAAACACTTGAAAGCTTTGGACCACCACTAGCAATGATGCCATGTTTACATGACACTAGCTCTGCTGGACAGGACATGTCATAAGGATGCCTGACAATCAGCTCCAAGAACAGGTCCTATATGCCCAGCTCACTGATGGTCACCATTCAGGAAGAGGGCAGAAGAAGAGATTCAAGGACACCTTGAAGGCCTAATCTGAAGAAATACGATATTAACGTTACTACCTGGGAGACTTGAGCACTGAATTGTCCCCAATGGCACCATGGTGTGCAATAAGGCATTGATTATTTTTAGCAAACTCACCTCTCACTATGGAGGTGGATAGATGAGAGAGACTGAGAGAAAAAGAGTGGTGACCCAAATCACCAGGAACTACTCCTTCCTCATGGAACTGTTTGCCACTTCTGCAGTCAAACATGCGGATCTTGTATTTGCATCAAAAGACTCACAGATAACTTCCCTACTTACTGGACGGCTGTCATTCTCATATTGAGGGACTGCAGCTGCCACTGACTGAAAATTTAGTACAGGCCAATCAGAATATAAGACAGCAGGCACTACACATTAACTGTGAATGCCATTTCATCAGTTTCCAAGAAAAAACAAACTGCTGTTAATCATTACTAATTACGTAACTGCATAACTATTAAAACATGACTTCTATAATGTTTGACTTCAAGCAAGTCAGTGCTAAAAAACAGAACAAACAATCAGCAATTTAGGGAGGATTTGCGATTACTATATTAGATTATTTTTACCATTGTAATTTTAAAATGTCTGTTTAACTAAGGTAAATACATTATTGGCATCTCTTTCAAAATTCTGCGTACACATATACCTCTGAAACTGTGCTCGCATACCAGTTAGTTGGGAAATGGCAAGCAGTGAAAATAACCAGCTTGCAAAATAACCTGCAGGGTGGGAAAGTGTCCTCCAAAATTTTCAGCTGTAGTTAGGGTGGTATTGGAATTCTTTTCCCCTTAAAGGTCCAGAAGTAAATTAAAGTTAAGACTTTCCTTTCCTTTTCTGTGTCCTTCTGACAAGGTATTTAGCAGAATTTGCAGATTTGTTGGAATCTGATAGGTGGTGCCATAAGCACTTCTGCTATGGCCTCAAATCTGTGACCTCTGGGCTGTCAACCATGTGCCTTAGTCCCCTTGCCACCCGAACCCCCCACCTATTATTCTTGAGAAATATAAAGCAAGCAGATAACAAAAACAGCAGTACACTAATAAATTAAAAGGACAGAAGAACGACTGCAACCCTCTGACCTTCAATTATACATGAGGGAGCATTTGTAAGCATCTTATAAAGGAAGCTTACAAGAAGTGGAAACCTGGACAAATCAACTAGGGAGGAATGTAAGTGTACTGCTTGGGCATGCAGGGATGAAATCGGGAAGGCCAAAGCGCAACTGGAGATGCAGCTAGCAAGGGACGTGAAGTGTAACAAGAAGGGTTTCTACAAGTATGTCGGCAACAAGAGGAAGGTCAGGGAAAGGGTGGGTCCCTTACTGAATGGGGGAGGCAAACTAGTAACTGATGATGTTGAAAAGAATTACGCGTTCAATGCCTCTTTCACCTCAGTCTTCAAGGGCAAGGTCAGCTCCCAGACTACTACACCCGGCAGCACAGTCTAGGGAGGAGGTGAGCAGCTGACAGCAGTGAAAGAACAGGTTAGAGACTATTTAGAAAATCTGGACATGTACAGGTCCATGGGGCCAGATAGGATGCATCCGAAGGTTCTGAGTGAGCTGGCCAATGTAAACGGAGAGCTGCTGGCCATTATTTTTGAAAAGTTGGGTCGACTGGGAGAGGTCCTGGATGACTGGAAAAGGGCAAATATAGTGTCCATCTTTAAGAAAGGGAAGGAGGAGGATCCGGGAAACCATAGACTAGTCAGCCTCACTTCAGTCCCTAGAAAAATCATGGAGCAGATCACAAGGAATCCATTTCTAAGCACTTGGAGGAGTGGTGACGAGGAACAGTCAGCATGGATTCACCATGGACAAGTCATGCCTGATGAACCTGATTGCCTTCTATGATAAGATGACTGGCTCTTGGATGTGGAGAGAGCAGTGGATGTGATATACCTTGACTTCAGCAAAGCTTTTGATATGGTCTCCCACAACATTCTTGCAAGCAAGTCAAGGAAGTACGGGTTGGATGAATGGACTGTAAGGTGGATAGAAAATGGGTTGGATCCTTGGGCTTAAAGGGTAGTAATCAATGGCTGCATGTCCAGTTGACAGCTGGTATCAAGTGGAGTGCCCCAGGGGTCAGGCCTGGGGCTGTTTTTGTTCAGTATCTTCATCAGTGACTTGGAAGATGGGATGGAGTGCGCCCTCAGGAAGCTTGCAGACGACAACAAGGCCAGGAGGAGGGGAGGGGAGGGAGTAGTCAATACACTGGAGGTTAGGGCTAGGATTCAGAGACCTTGGCAAATTGGAGGATTGGACCAAAAGAAATCTCATGAGGTTTAATAAGGACAAGTGCAAAGTCCTGCATTTAGGATGGAACCATCCCATGGACCAGTCAAGCTTGGGGACTGACTGGCTAAGCAGCAGCTCTGCTGAAAAGGATCTGAAGGTTACAGTGGACAATAAGCTGAATGTGAGCAATAGTGTGCCCTTGCTGCAAACAAGGCTAACGGCACAGTGGGCTGCATTAGTAGAAGTGATGCCAGCAGATTGAGGGAAGTGATTATTCCCCTCTGTTCAGCACTGGTGTCCACTTTGGGCCCCAACTACAAAAATGGAGTCTAGTAGACAAACTGAAGTCCAACAGAGGGGAATGAAAACGTTTAGGGGCCTGGGGCACATGACTTCTGAGGACACTCTGAGGGAACTGGGCTTATTGGGTGCCTACACATGAACAGCACACGTGTAATTGCAGTGCATTGGAGCAGACCTGATTAATTGAATCCATCGGAGCATGGTAATTACCATGCTCCAGCAACTCCAGCATCTTGTGCATCAGTGTCCATGCACTGAAAAATGGTGGCAGGGGTGCTTTAACTAGAGATTGTCAAACAGAGAGAAGTGCAGATGCTTAACATTTTACATAAACATTAAGTATAAACATAGGCTTGACAAGTTAATGGCCTTTAGCCCAACCTACAGCTTGTAACAATATAATTCTGTCACATAGTCCCCCTAGAAGAATTATTCTTTTGCTACAGCTTGAATTTAATATAATAGCATTTGAACTCAATTCATTATTTATAAAAATAAATTCTATTTGTTCACATTATCTCTTTTGAAGAGAATGACACAAAGACATTTATATTACTAGAGCTGGCTAAATGACAGCTAGGTTCATTTTCAACACTTATCAAAGTTAGTTTCTAGCATCATTAAAGACTTAAGAGTAATACTCTTACAAAAACCCTGGTTCACAGGAACATTTTTCTACTTCCTTATTTCCACCTCAAACTTACTAGGATTTTTCTGAAGAAATGTATCAGTGCTCAATGAACAGTCTATTACCACAAAGACAGACATACTCATGTGGCACCAAAAACTTCACAAGACCTTTCATAACTGTAGGGTTAGATGGTAGTTCATAGATTTCATAGACATTAGGGCTGGAAGGGACCTCGGAAGATCATTGAGTTCAGCCCCCTGCCCAAAGGGCAGGAAGTCAGCCGGGTCATAGGATCCCAGCAAGATGAACATCCAGTTTGCTCTTGAAGGTGTTGACTTTTCTTCATTATGGATGTTTCAGGGAAATGACATGCTGGTGTAAATGTTATTGTTACTTTCTGTGCAAGAGATACAGTATTTAAAATTACTGAGGGTAAAATGTTTGCAAAGAAAAGCTGAGATATAAATATAAAATTTCAAAGATAGTTGATAAATAGCCATGTGTTTTTACATACTGCATCCTTTGCTATAAGACTTCTTTAGTCTGGGGTGGTTTCCTACTTAACAAAACTAGCTATCTTTAAGTCACAAGCATAAAGGCAAAGAAAGAGGAAGTCAATCTGGGATATGTTTTGAAGAATGTGAGGGAAGAAAAAGACAGAAGAAAAGCCACTTAACATATGAAAACAGTAAAAACATTACAGCATGTACTTTAAATTCGCTCTTATTTTATCGCTGCTACAGATTTCTGGAAGCTACCGTACTGTTATACAGCAATGCATGCTAGTTCATATGAACTACATAAGTTATGTCTACCAATATAAAATATAACTAAAACAATTCATAGCACAAATTTATATACGTTTTCCAATCTAGGGGCATATAAAACAAAAGGTATCATCTCTGGGCAATGGCATATTAAAAGTTACACCAATTTGTCTAGTCTTAGATAGACTAAGATTATCTGAGAAGCGAATGAAGGACTTTCTGGAGTAAAATGACCAAGTCCCTACTAGTCTCCCCACAAATATTTTCAAAAGTTCCTCTTTAAAACAACTACTAATTATTCATTCCTATCGCGATTAATATTAAAACCTTGAATAATACTAACACCTTGAAATATGTACATAACAATCTTGGTATACTCCAAAGTGAAATAGAATATTGTTTTTGTCATTTAATTATACACAGGAATAAGATGCCAGACTGTTTTGGATTGTTAAAACTAGTAACTTGTATACTTATAATGCCGAACCTATTAAAAGATTACACTAAGTGAGAGAAATCTTTCAAAAAGGCCTTGCACCCCACTCTGTAAAGATTTTCTTTTTAAAGCAAGAGATGTGTTCAATGTTCAGTGCTGAATATGTCAAAAAAATCTCTTATTTCAACCCCCACAAGAGTGAAGATGATTAGCCATGATTAGCACTACAGCAGGACTTAAAAACTTGTAACACAAAAGTTTAAAGAAAACAAATAAAACCTCATTACACCCCTAATACTTTACCTCTGTAACTGGCTGCCCTTGCTGTGTCAGATCCAGTTCCTGAGGTCTTGTCATCTTATCGATATCCAAAGAGTCCATGCTGGAGGCTGCAGAGGTGATGCTGGAGCGGGATGAGTTACTGATAGAACGCACTTCAGCATCACTTACTGTGCCAGCTGATGCTGTCCTCCTATGCTGAGCAGTAACTACAGGTTTGGTATCTTCAGTTACAGACTGCTGTGCTGCTTCATCCATGCTCAAGGAGGCCTTCTCCAATTGTGCAGTGATGTCATCCAAGGAAAAATTGGAATGTGGAGGCTTAGTAACCTTACCAGATGACGATAATCCTTTTATACTGCTATGTTTAGAGGCAGGTCGACCAGGTAGTTTTTGAGATTTTGCTTCTGTGGCCAGACGTTTCATTGCAGCACTGTTTGCTGACTGGGACCCAATGCTGCTGAGCTCCTGCTCAATGGAACAAAGATCAGCCATGAGGGCATCCAGATCCACAGTCTCTCCTTGATTTAGGGCTTCTGCAATGAACAAGAGGAGTTAGCATGCTGATGATCAGGGATCCTGGTTTTCCCTGATAAAAAAACCCTAGAAATTCTCCAATAAAAAAAGCAAATTCTCTAATAAACCCCCCCAAGTCCGTTATTAAAATTAAAGGCCCCCACAACCCCGCTTGTGCCTCTCACTCCTCCCCCCCACAGCCCTGCTGATGCCCTTCACCCCCAACCCACATCCCCTACTCCCCCAGCCCTGCTGAAGGGGGCCCCCAGCTGCCAGGGCTATGGGGCTGCATTGAGGGCAGCAACGCAGGGTTGTGCCCTTCAAAGCACTGGCATGCACAGGAGGTGCATCGGCCAGGCAGTATGGAGCTTGCAGCGGTGAGGAGATCCCCATGCAGCCCTGCTGCTCCCTGCCACCCTAGGTCGTGCCCGCTGGGCTGCGGAGGCCTTGGGGAACGGAAGCAGGGCATTAGCCTGAGCCCATAGCCTGTGCCTGCCCTGCGTACAGATCTGGGGGGTGAGGGTTCCCCCTGCCCCCCCAGGAATGCACATAGCATTGGGGAGTCCACCCTCCCACTCCCCTGGATGAGACACCTGTGGCCCCATCCTGCTCCCTGCTGGGGCCCTGCAGCCCCAGCAGGGGGGCCCCGGGCTCCAAGCACTGCCAGGCTGGGCAGCAGCCCCAGCTCTGCCCAGCTCCCTCTCTCCCTACAGGGGCCTCAATCCCCCTCTCCTCACTCCCACTTACCTGGTGGAGCTGCTCTGCAGGCTGCCTGGGGCCATGTGCATATATGTGCACGTGGCACCCCCTGTCTCACCACCTTCCTTCCACTCCCTCTCAGCTCCCTGCAGGCTGGAATTTTGCCAGGCTGCAGGGAGTTCATTGCAAAACTGCAAAATCCGCGGGTTTCTCTAGTAAAATGAGAAATTTGCGTTGCCTCCAGTAAAAGGTAAAATCCGGTTTACTCCGTTTTTCCGTGGGAAACAGAAAACCCAGATCCCTGCTGATGATGAACTAATTTCTCAACCCTGCTGTGATCATGGACAGTGCAGAAGTAAAATTATTCATACCATCCTGACCTTATGTCCATGAAAACAGAGAGTAGTTTTACAAAACTGGATGTTAAATACATTTGCTAATGCCGTTCCAGTAACGGGAGCCTCTAGTTATCAGTAAAATTTTTAGATATACTTAAACTGTTAAATAGTTCATAACTAAACTTGCAAAGCAGTCCAAGGGTTTGGGATATGCAATTTCCATTAATGGAAAATGGAAGATTTATGGCCAAGTCCCCCATAATTTCAACTCGCAATTCTTTCTTTCTTTTTTTCTTAAAACAAAATGTCCTGTATTTTCACCAGCATAATAGGTAAATCAATCCAAGGAAGTTTTTTTAAAACACAGTTTT